GCGCAGGTGGAAAAGGCACCGTCACCTACTGGGACAGGTATTGGTGTTCTTATAGAGGAGGATACTGGAGAAGACAAATCAAGATATCTGGGCGTGTTTCCATTACGATCCGGGTTTGCTCTTGGTGGAGATGTTACTTAAGGCGTATCATTTACTATGTGCTTTGCTCGCAATATGTGTGTTATTGAACCTGCAGTGGTTTTTCAGCCAGCCTTTAATGAGATATGTTCTCAGTGTTTTTGGCTTTGCTCTTATTTTATTTCAGTAGACACCGTAAGGCTTAGTGCAAGTATATAACTATAAAGTTTCAACATTTCCCATGCATGATATTGTTTTTTCAATAAGCATTGTAGTTGAAGTATACACAGTGTAGCTGATAGTCTCACGAAGCCAAAGCTGAGAGACAAAAGTGTTTTACAACTGTAGACATTTTTCAGAGGTCGGTTTTTGCTCCGACACCTGTGTTTTTTGTTTTTTTGTTTTGGTTCTTTTTGTTTTTTTACTTTTTACCATATTATTGCTTATTATACCGTTAGAAAATGATACGTAAGGGTCATAAAAATGGTTGCTATGATAATGATCATATATCCTTGCTGTTAAGTGCTAAGTGTGATTTCAATAAACAGGCAGGCTTTGAAGTTTCACAAATGTATCACTTGTTGTTAATGGGTCACGAGGGGCTTGATTACTAAATAATCTGACATTTCATGAAACATAGGAGCGTTACATTCAGTACAAATAGTGCCGACGCGTTTAAAACTTGCAAGTCGCATACAACTAGAGACCAAAGATATTGGCGATCATGGTAAACTATTAAACAGTTTTCTTTATAGTTTCAGCACGGATGAAGTTGTTCTTTACTTAGTATAGATAGCAAGGTTTCACTTATTCGTTGGACAATCTGTCTCGTAACGTGGAACGAGATGGCTCCTTTTGTGGAATGAAACGACGATAGAGCGAAGTGACAATAAAGCAAACTTGGACTGACCATTAGGGTAGCCATTAGCATGAAAACTACTACATTGATGAATAACGAAATAACTCTTCACTTGTTTGATGCTATTCCCTCTATAAAGCTGTATCGTTGCGACGTTATTTTCAGCCAGCAGGGAAACTTTAGTAATGAAATTAAACTGTTTGAGTGCCCCATTGCGTTACAGTAGGATTTAAAGTTCACAATATTGGTTAGTGATCGGATAGGGAATAAAGATATATATAAAAAAATTGTTCGAGCAGTGAGATTTGTGCTTTACAGTATTTCTGCTTTTTTCTTTCGTCTAAGTGATCTTCCGTTATTTCGTGCCGGTTTTAGCAGACACTAACCTTGATTCGTAAAGCTTTCTTGACTATCTCCGTCAACTTTCTTGAGATCAAACCAAAATCTCTCGGTGTACCAAGAACTACCGAGTTTATGCGGTCTTTCAAACTGAGTTTTCGAGAATACCTTGATAATCACTTTTTCGTGACTACTAAAACACGGAAGCTTCAGTCTCTAATCAGACAAGAGTTTAAGAGAGTAGAATATTAGCATATCCTACACTGTAATTTGATTTCTATTAACAGATCAATTAAAAAAGATGTCATGTGTTCATGAAGCATGAAACCACAAAAACATCAGTTAAGAAAATCCAAAGAAAGCTGAGAGACAAACGAAGTATTCTGATTTCGTTTTATTTTGTTATATTTACGATTTATTCCACTTTAAAATACAAATTATGAAAAAGAAAAACAAAGTTAATAACTTGTGACAATAGAATATATTATCAACAGTTCAATTCACTATTATGGCGAGCTGCTGGCACAGGCCATCTTGATTTTCGAGTAGAACCTGGCAAACTACTTCTGAATAATACTTAATAAGACCTATCAAGCCCGCAACAAATATTTCTCCAGTTGTAAACTGTGGTTAATTAAAAGATATTCACAAACATATGCAAAAACAAACACAAATATACAAAACCATCCATACTGTCGCTTCATTTGTCACTTTTTACATTTCCACCCGGACAGAAATTATATCGGTTAAAAATTACAATCTCCTGACCATTACCGGTTACGTTATTGAACAAACGTTAACACAAGAAAAGAAATTTTATTTATACATGTAAAATCCACGGTTTCCTTTAATCAAAAGATATTAACTCTAGATCCGTCAACTGCCTCTGGGGAGGTGGGCCTTGGGGTGACGGTGCTGATCCAAATTGCTGTGGCGGTGGTTGACCAGGACCCGGTTGGTACCCTTGCTGAGGTGCAAATTGTTGGGGCTGTTGTTGTGGTTCATAAGCCTGCTGCCCTGGAGGGCCCTGTTGAAGGGGAGGGCCCTGTTGCATGGGATGGCCTTGCTGCATTGGGTGACCTTGCTGCATCGGGTGAACTTGCTGCACCGGGGCTCCTTGTTGCAACGAAGGAGGTCCTTGTTGAAACGAAGGAGGACCACTGGGTGGAACCATGTTGTGTTGTGGTTGAGTTGGTAAAGAATTGAACTGCATCTGAGATGATCCTCTGGAGGCGTCCATTGCCGGAGGAAAGCCATTCCCTTGAGGAACATGGTATGACTGTGTTTTAGTCTGTGGAGCCTGGTTTGGGGGTTGAGGGTACTGGGGTGGGGCAGTCTCAGGTACCAGTGGCGCCTCCGTTGGGTTGGAATATTGTGGATGTTGTGGGTATTGGGATTGGGTCTGTGGTGGCGGCATCTGGTTATACTGGGGTTGTTTCCCTGTGGGGCCTGGAGGTGTTGTAGCTGGGAGCTGATTCTGTAGCGCAGATTGTGTTGGCGGCTGCTGACCAACTGACTGTCCATACAGAGGTGGAGGACCAGGCTGCTGGGAGCTAACCTGAGCATACTGAGGAGGAGGTGCTTGGGGAAGTACTTGCGCAGGGGCAGTTGGAACGGGGAGGGGTCCCCCAAGACTATAAGGCTGAAGAGATGATGGACCAGACTCTGGTGGAACTTGAGATGCATATGATGGTGGCTGATACTCTAGCGAACTTGGCTGGGGTTGGAACTCTGTTTGAGGGGCTGGTACTTCGTTCCTGTATGACATATAGTCCGCCCGTGTGGTGGGTACATAACCCTCTCCTGTTGGTCGAGCAGAATACTGAGACGGTGGTGAGGCATCAGGGGCCTGATATCCAGGAGGGACAGCAGGGGTGTAGCCCGCGAGTGGATTCTGAGGATTGTAAGGTTGTGTACCAGCTGCAGTCATTGGAGCGTAATTCATGGAAGAATACGGACTGGATTCCCCTGTGGATGGATACTGCACTCCGGCATATGGGCTTTGCTGCTGCTGCTGCGATGGCTGCATCTGTCTTTGATATTGTAATCTCTGTTGTTGCTGTTGTTGTTGTTCAATGACTGCTTGTCTCTCGGCCTGTAAACGTTGTTGGTAAGCCAAGTACTCAGCCTTCTGCTGCCGCATCAGCTCCAGCTTTTGTTCAATTTGCATCCGTCGAAGCATATCTTGTTCGAGTTCCTGCTGACGAACTTTCTCACGGTGTTGCTCTCGCATCTCATCTAAGGATGCACGTGCTTCATGCACAAGACCAAGTTTCACTTGAAGTGCCTCGTATTTAGCTGAAAGCAAAAGAAATGAAACGAATTACATGGAGAAAAAAGTAAGGGACAAAATCTAGTCAATAGAAACTGCCAAACATGGACAGACACCAATAGTCAACTTAACTGGCGGTATTTCTTTATATCTGTTGACCCTGAACCAAGAAAACAACCAGTTAAGAGGGCTAAGGCAACAAAAAAACAAATTACTTACCTTTTTTCTCTTCTTGCTCTTCTACGAGTCTCAAAATTTGGGGATGCATTGCGCTGACAGTTTGGAATAATGACTAATAAAAACAAAAGAAAATACCCCTTTTTTGAGGCAATAGTCTGACAAAGTACAACTAATACTAGACGATACTAGAAACTGACATCACCGGCACCCATCACCACAAATAAATAGGCATCTTTTTGATTTCAAAAGTCCAAAACGCAATAACTTTTTCAACAAGCACAAGCGTTTGTAAGAGCTTTTGAAACACTCCTACTTGACTTTCAGGTTGGTAAGTTTTTAACCCTGTGAGGTTGTCCAGGAGTGTGGATCGGAACTGGTAAACTGTAAGTGACGAACTAACGTAATGCTGGGAGAGAGAGAGAGAGGGCGGGGGGAAAGAGTAAGGGAAGGCAACCCTGCATGGACCGACACCCCGCCTAGCTACTTCTTGCTGATGACATCAGGATGAACTCTGGCTCAATTCTCAACATGAGGAGTAGACAACAATACCTGTGCTGTAGCATCCATAGCGATATGCTTCCCTTGACCAGAAATTCTCTGCATTCTGTCTAACAGCATTTCCACGTTGCCTTGAAATGTTTTCACCATAGCATCCGTCACTTCAGACACGTCCGAATTTACGCCTTCAACCTGATACACATGAGTGGAAAAATACAAATCAAGCCAAATTAGGGGAAAAGCCTTGAGGACTTTTTCTCACTCCTGAATATTACTATTTAAAAAAAAAAAAAGAAGAAGAAAAGATTGTCTCAGGCACCCTTACATCTCGATGCCATATTTTCAAATAACTTGATTTAACAAGATCTTAATACAAGGTCTCAAAGCAAGCTCAAAAATTTATCCGACAGATGTAGGTCCGGCTTCATAAAAATATCTACAGCCTGTACGTCTTAGCGCTGCTGCACGAGCGACGAGATTGGAGCCAGCGAGAGGTATATCAGGGGTCTGGACCCTCGCAGATCTCTTGCAGACCTCTAGTGCGCTAACATCGCTGGCCCGCTCGAAACCCGCGGGTTTGGCCGCTACTGTCACAGCTTCAAGACCGCCTGCTGGCTGTGTATGCATGTCTACGGTAAATTTGTTCTCAAATTCAACAAAAAGTACTGTTATTTGGCATTTTATAAGACAGGAAGGATCTTTAGCCGATGGGTAAATATAAATTAAGTTTGTTAGAGCATGTCATCAACAGACGGTTTATGTGGGTGACTGACAAGGGTCTGCCTTCCGTGTTCGCGTCATAAGTATAAAAAACTTATCTGCCATATTTTTGCAGGATATTGAGAAACGAAAGATTACAAAATAAATATGTTGCTCGAAAAAAAAAATTAAAACGCGTTCATTTAGAGCATTAATTTAAAACTTAAATCAGTTTTTACCCTGAAATAAAATTAAAAACGCTAATAAAAAGTAGGAAGCATTTTATCCTCTTGTTAATGAGTCTATGATGTTAGAATTAATAACATAATTAATAAAATTTACAGCAAGAGGGTTGTTATTAGCCATGGGCTCATTGTTGTCTCTCTGAGATTTCCTTCCTTTCTTTTTCTTTTTTCCTTTTAATCCACCAACTCTCATCTAAAACGAAATACACAGTCTTTTCTTAGCCTTCAAGGTTAGGTTAAAAACAGTTCTTCTAGGGTCTTCAGATGGGGATAAAATGCTGGGTTATGTTAATTTAGTCTACATCCCTGTGAAATTAGTGTTTAAAATTATTGACATAATTAGCGTGATTAAAATAAGGATACATGATGATCAAAATAAATACGGGGTAGTAAACTCGCAAAACGAATTTTCAACTTTTATACCCTAACCCTAGTAACTATGTTCTCCGCACTTTTTTCTTTTCATTACCGAAGCAAACCTGGAGTAGAATTCGCTGAACATTTGTCTCATTCAAACTTGATTATGTAAAAAACTCAAGATGTGACATAAATCCTCTAAATTTAAACAAACACTCTGCTGTGAAAACAATTTCTTTCTTTTAATCTGTCACAACGTGCTTTTATCTGCCAAGTAGAATATCTGTTACTTAAAGCTTACAAAACAATATGTTTTGCAGTTTGCTTTGAGAAAGTAAGATGAATGATGACACCCGTTGTGTAAACATTTTTTCATTACGATTAAATTAAAAGTTTTAATTATTAGAAATTCTCCATTTTACTTTTTTGCAAGTCAACGTTTTTATAACTAAAAAGACCATTTTTTCCTGAATGACTTTCAATGTAATGGTAACAAATGTGTTATGTGTATCACAACCTGGATAAAAGAACTCTACCTTAAAATGGTGGGTTCTTTTTGCCATTGAATTGTTAAGACTCTTGCTCCCAATAGTTTCAATAAAAGTAAGTGATAAAATGCTGCTCTTATTTAACAATAAATCTCATTTAAAATTAAAACAGTTATTACTGGTGACACCTGTATAGTTCATAAACTCAATACAAATACTAGCAGACCTAACAAAACAAGGTGATGCCTTTCATAAATTTCCTTTGGAAAGCCAGTAGAAAGTTACAGGACTGGTGCAAAATGACTGGATTTGTCTGTAACATAATCCATTGATCTGTTTAACACTTTATACTGTAACATCGATCAATACAAAATTTATGAGTACTCCATACTGTTCTCTACACATTTCCTAAGGTGCAGACAAGGAGAACTGGTTTAACAATCAAGAGCTTCTTTAGCTGGTGATCATTCGCTTTATTCTTGTGATCCTAATGTTTGATTCAGGGGTGATATTGTGAGGAGAAATTAGATGTTGGTCACTCTTAAAAGTCAAGGGGTTTACAGTAGACAATCAGCAAAAGATGTTTACCTCTACATGATTGTTAGTCTGCATTGGTGCTGGTGCACTGGCCGGAGGACTTGTTCTCTCTCTTGATGTTTGCCTTTCACTCCTCTCTTCCCAGTATGAGCGATTCAGATATCTTGCAAGCTACAATTCACACAAGTGAGTTAGGAATTCAATATCTGTATACAACCAAAGTTGCCCACACATGGAGTAAAACCATGGGGCTAATTGTTCTAACTACAATTAGTGCTAACATGTACATTAGAATTTAAATTCCATCTTGGCCTTTTGTTTTTCTTCTTTAAAGGTATAAGTATGTCTTAGGGTTTATTCTTTAGAACTCCTCTGTTTGGCAGAAGTGATAGCAGTAAAATACTGAAGAATACAGTGCAATAAAACGACACCAAAATGGATTAGCTTATACATGTGTATTCATGTTTCAAACAACCTTATTCTGAGTTTCTGTGGTACATAAATTGGAGGTTATTACTTAGTGTTAAGTCAAGTTTCCTATGTGGTTGGATGGTGCCTACTCTTGTCCTGAGACTGATTAGTTACATGTAAGATAGAGAGCATAGCTGTACATTGGGCAAACTTTCAAATTCAATTACTGTAATAAAAGTTGTATTAAAACAAACTACAAATACCCAACTTAATTGATAGGAGGATTAAAGAGATTTCTTTTGATTTTGTTTACAATACAGAATGTATATATCACCACCTAAAATCAATGTCTTTTCTGTAAGATGTACTTTTACTGTTTTAAGACAGCTGTGCAATTTGTACATGTACACAGTAGTACTCATGGGGGTTGATAAAACTGATTTTATGCACAAAGAAATATGTGTCATACCTCTGGATCCATGCTCGATGAATCAGTTTCCACATCCTACAATTTAAAACAACAGTACTTTAATTGCTATGAATGCTATGAAAGAGAAAACTCAGACTCCTGACAGTACTTTTTATGATGGGCAATGTATGTTAACTGAAAGGTATTACTTGCAAATACAAAGCACTTACTGGAGAAGCATATAAGCCACTGGACTGCCTGTGTGAGTGGTAAGGTTGCTCTGAGACTACATTGTAGGAAGAAGATTTAATGCTTGGACGAGCTCGCATCTGAAAACAAACAAAGATACAAAAAGCTAGTAAGAGTATAACTTCAGCAAATAAACACATAGAGCTCTATGAAGACCTCAAAATAAATCACAGTAACTCAAACCAGTTGTCGAGGATATCTTCACTAGTCACATATGTACACATGCAGCATAATCAGCAAACTAAAATAATGTCTAGTATTTACAACACTTCTCAGAAAATGAAAACGTAATTCTAGGCATGAAAGTGATGCCATGCATCTATTTTTAAAATGGTTTTATGCAAAATTAAGCCAAAGAGTTCACATGAAGATCTTGCAAGGCAATAAAAGTGAGCCTATGCCCCCTAATTATTTTAACCTGCCATAATTAAGTGTCCTAAAAAAAAGCTTTTTCACCTACAATTTAGATATCACATTAAATTTTGTAACAGACTCCAAATCCATGATTCATGCTGTAATAAATTTTGTGTCTTCTTGATTTTACATTATTATTTATTTAATAAACTTACAACATTTTATTTTGAAAGAAAAGATCAATTTATGAGTGCAGCTCTACCAATCCACAAAAGATCTTTCTACTTTTTAGGGTTGGAGGTATGTAGAACCTTCATGCTCTTTATCAAATTCTTCACCTTGTAAAGACAGATTTTCAAAACATAAACCCTCCCAAATTCCTAGATTCATTCTCAATCACCCAGGTGAGAGGAATATAGTTATTACTTTATAGTGATTCCTTCCTGTACTACCAAATTCTCCAAACTGGTAAATGGAAAGTTGGGTTGATTGCTTTTGAGAATCGATCTCTTGAACATAGCAATGAGTGGGTTCACATGACTTTATTATAATAGTGTCTGTTTATGCTCACATCTTTAGTTGCTTCCTCTTCTGACAGTGATAATGCCATAGCCAGCTGCAACTCTTCTTCCTCTTCATCCTGAATTTCCTGTTCAGTCTTCTTTGTAGGAACCTAGCAGCACAAGAGCATGTACAGCCAAAGGATTAAAAAGAGACTGAGGATTAAACTTCCTCTTTCTCGTTTAAAAATGTTCACTCTTCTATTTCTATTTTTGTATACTATATACAATCATGTTTTTGACAAATCCCTACCTGTGACTCACGACTGAGTGGACTGTTAAGATATTCCGCTGGTAAGTCAGAATCTGCAGATTTTTTTTCTTTATCGGACTTCTTGGAGCTGCCTTCTTCACTTTTTCTAGAGACAAAAATAAGAAGTATGATTATTTACAAAATCATGTACATGACTGTAAATAAAAATTATGAAATTAGTGTCAATACTCATTTTGACTTATCAGAAGCAATAAATCGGAGACACAACTGTAGGATAAGTGCTCTTTGTAAGATCTACTAGTATCAATAACACCTTGAAAACAATGTTGAAAAATTTGGAATTCTGTAAAAGGTTCAGTGCAATTTATATGGTGCAAGCACTGTATTGAATACATAATACCTAAATCATGAAATTATTCTGCAATGTAATGTAATAAGCGATTTCATACCCTGCTGATGGGTTGATCTTGTAAAAGCAGGGATCACAAACCCTGACTTCTCTTTCTATTCCATAGTGTGGGATGATAGAATTTTTAGATGAACACTTCTGGCAGAATACTTGGCCACAATTCCTACAGTGGTGCTGAGATGAAAAAGACAAAATAATTATCATGATATCCTACAGTAGCCTGCACTTCAGGTCAAGAGGTTCAAGGTCAAGACCTAGCAGGTCATTATGTTGTGTTCTAATGGGTAAAACATGCTATTTCACAGTGCTTCTCTCCACCCAGGCCGGGGTATAAATGGCTACAGGCAAATTATCAGTGGGGAAGGCTAATGAAATGCTGGGGAGTAACCTGGAGTAACCTGGCTGGACTGGCATCCTATCCAGAGGGGAGAAATAATAATCCTAGTCACTTCATGCCAAGGAAACCAGGATAGGCTCTGGCTGCACTGGCCACTTGGTTCCTATATAAACTTTTTAAAACTTTTTTGCATTCTGACTAAGAAAAAGACGCTCAGTTGTCTGTCAGAAAGTTTCACTGCAGTGTAACAATACCCCAGAGTCAATTGTTAGTAATGATTATCATGATGTCACTTCATCTCTAGATTACTGGGAAACTGGGAAAACCATGAACACCTGAAATATCAATGGAATGTTTTGTGATTCCAGAGAAAAATCAACAAGGTGTGACAAAGCTTAACCACAAACACCCATCAATAGTACTTAGTTTGTGGTTTTGAGGTTTGTGTACAGTATGGTCAGTACACAACTGATGTGTTTGACACAAGTCCATGTGTTAATGGTTTTCTGAATTCACAATGAATAAGCCAAATTGAGTCTAGCTACTGTTTACCTGTCTTTGAAATGTGGAGAACTTAACCCTACACATGTGACAGACATCACCTTCTGCCCATTCAGGAGCCTGGTAAAGGAATCAATAATAAGTTTTAAATATTTCAATCAAAGATATTTTCCTATACATGCATCAGTAGTAAACTACACACCAAGCAGTTTAGCACAAAGGTTTTTACCTCTAAGATGCATAAAAATAATTATGAATTAATTCCACTCACTAGTTACCCTATTGCTTTGCATGTATCTAACTAAGGATAAGATCACTTATAATCATGAAACTTACTGTTTCGGCCGTGAATAAGGCATCACTTGAATCATTTATTGGAGGGAACTTATAACCTGTTCAGAGAGGTGGACAAACAAACAAAACAACAGTTAAGGCAAACATGCATGTCCACCCAGTTGTGTCTATATAAAAACTCCTGTTTACATGTAGCATGTCTAACAGCCTTATGTTCATCAGATGAGGAAGAAGGAAACTTTTCACCAACTTTGCAACACTAACCCCCTCATATTTCCAATTTTTTTAGGTGTGAAATAGCCAGAATTCACCGTAACATCAAGTACAACCTATTCTACTGGTAAAGTGCACTGGTGATGTTCAATCTAGGGAAGATTGGAAAAAATTGAATGAATACCACAAGGCACCTCACCTTCCATTCTCATAAGATTAAATGTATCCTGAACAACTTTGTACTTTGGTTCTTTGCGAAATGCAGTTGACCATGTCTGAATCATACTAAGAATTTGTTCTTTGACTGGATCTGGGCTTGACTGAAGTTAAAAAAAAAAAGGACATAACTTAGAGAAAGATGTTTTTCCTCTTGTCACCATGACAACCTTTAAAGCCAACCACAATAGAAACCATACAAACTCATAATTTCCATCAAATGAAGCTTTCCCTCCTCAGTTTTGAATTTGCTTTCCAGTAAACACAAACACACAAAAAAAATCCAGCTGAAATCATTTCTCTTGAAAATCCATATTTCTCACACTTTTTCTCACACAATTAGTTACTCTGGGTCACTAAATTTACCAAATAGGTAACAGTAACCTCATTTACAACTACCCATTGAACTGGTGAAATCTGATGTTGAAATACATGTCTTCTATCAAACTTGGTTGGTATACACAAAGAATTAGTTAGTCATTCTAATAGCTACCAAATTGGTGATAGCTTTGAGGATCATAGTTTGATTCTTACTTTGGCCAGCTCTCTGAAGCAGTCCATAATCTCTTTTGTAGCCACTTCTTTGTGCATAGGAGCCCCACAATTCTTCACACATGCTTCTAACACCTTGATGATAAGGAAACAGTATGAGATTATTGAACTTCACAAAATCATTCAGTATTCTCAGATTATACAGATTTACAATTCATATTCTGCCAGCTCAACTGTGTCAGTGCAGAAGCAAGAATCCTTTTTTTAAGTAATTGGATTGTTACTGAATTGATTGTTATACAAAAACTGTACTGTTTTATACTGTTTTAATACATCTTTTTAGATAACAATCACGCAATCGTATCTAGCCACCATGTTTGTTTTGTTTGTTGACATATTTAAAGCTTGTGCTATGGTGGTATCCAAACCTTGCACAATTAAAAACCCAGTATGGAGCCTTCTCAAGCACAGTGAAATTCAAGTAATTTTAGAGGAGATCTGAGACCAATTGTACTGTTTGTAAAGGTTTGACTGTTGAATAATTATTTCACAGTTCAATTTTACATATTAGGCACAATACATCCCCTTCAAAAGGGTTTCTGTTATCATATGTGCCTTCAAATCAAAGATAATCATCCTCACAGACTTCCAATGTACCAGTTTGTGTTGTCAAACTTGATGTAAATGTGGTACCAGCAGTATGTACATACAAAAGTAATTTTCAACAAAAATTATCTATGGGCAATTGGTAAGTTAAAATGCAATCTGTAAAATCATCTCTTGAAATACCAACATCTTTCAAGCACAGTTACATTGACCTTAATATACAGTGCATCATGTGATGCCTCATTCTACATGTGACATGACACTTTCCTTTAAATCAAAAAAGGGGAAAATCATGTGCCATAGAGAAAGCAAACTGCTGTAACTGTCAAGATGGCTGGTGAATCTTAAACTTTTTTCTGCCTCTGACATCAGGAGCAAAAAAATTTTGCTGCCATTGCGAAAATAAAAATAATTATGAAGTAACTGCTTAGATAAACAGTTGTTTATCTTAGTATGTTGCTTTCAGTTGTTGCTTTTGAAAAGCAGTTTCGCATTTATCAAAACAAGGTAGGAGAATGTTAGGGGTCAAATCTTTTAGTAGTATACGTCAGGTCCTTTGAGGGCCAATCGTTAAAACTATGTCATTTACAAAACAAATAAAAGTAAAAGAATCTGTCCGAAAGTACAAAATCAATTAACATTAAATTCTGATCAATATCAAACAATGCTACGCTTACTATCAATCCAAATTTCGCAACGTGGGGATTCTTGTCTAAAATCTTTCTCTTTATAGCTGCTATTGCGTATTTGGGGCTGTGAACAAGAGAAAAATACAGTAAATAAAGGCTAGAAATCATGATGTATACCATTGTATGACAGTTGATAGTACTCAACCACCAATCCCCTGAGCAAAATTGAATTCAGTCACCAACGGTTGTGAACTTTATATAGCATTGAAAGTACTCTTACTTTACATCTTCTTGTCGGATACAGTCACAAATTTGAAGAATACTATTCCAGTCTGGCTCCAAAAGAAGCTGACTCGTTGCTTTCTCTAGAAGATAAATAAATAACATACGGTAAGCTCATATTATTATTCAAAGACAACAATAAAATGCAGCGAGGAAGACTGACTTCTGAAACAAGTTTACATCAGATAATTAAAAGACTAAGAGCTTACCGAGATGAGAATCAAAATTTGTAGAATTTGAAAATATCCCCATCTTTAAAAACCGATGAGGAACTAGAAAGGATCGCAGCACTGTTCACCAAAGTGCTTTCACGACAACACTGGGTATCTGACAAGATGGCCGACTATTGACTTCCGAGTAAATGACGTCGATGCGACAAAAATAGACTCTACTTAGTCTCCGGAAGTGAGTGTTTTACTCCCAGTCTCAGTTGACTGGTAGCTGACTCACGATCTGACGTCATAGCTTAGACGTGCCTCGCGTTTGTAAAAAATCGTGATCGACATATCAATTAAATGAATTACACAAAGCAAATTTTTGACAGTTTAATTTTCTGGCGTCTACATTCTTTATTTTCATGCCGTAAGGATAAAAAAATATCTCGAAGTGGGAACTTTCAACTACCTCCTGGTATCAAGGTTAAAAAAGTTATTAGGGGAGTTTTAGTGACACGACATGTGCGAGAAAATTCCCCCCAAATTTGTTTCACATAGAATTTACTGAGTCCGCGATATGCATAATGGACTCTTTCAAAGTCGCACGACCTTATGACGGATTTAATGAAATAGCAGTGAGCGTTTAACGAGACGGTTTCACATCTGGGTTGTTAACGTTGAGTAAATTTTCAGGAAAAAATTGTAACGTTGTTCATGAAACCGGTTAACGGTTGCACAGAGACAAATACTAACTGTGAGGTGTGTCCCTAAAACATTGTGGGGAATAGCTGATAAGGGAACTGGATAATTACCTGGAATTCCACTAAAAATGGGAACAAGGCCCGTCACATCTCAGTATCTCCTCGACCTGTTAATGATTATATTTGTACCCCTTACCTTCTTTAAAAAGGCTTTCTTCCCTCCGTTTCAAACTGCGATACATCTACGTTAAAAATCCAGTCCCACTTTTGTTGCTGATATACTTTCCCTTTTACGTTTTAGATTTTGCGGTTCGATGCGGTTGTTAACTGTAACTTGATTAAGCAGTCGGACCCCGTCTAAAATCTACTAACAAGGTTCGATTCCATACGTGGGCACTCGCGTGTTTCTTGATTCGATGACCAATCTCAGTTACCCTTTAGCTCCCATGAGTGACTAAGAAAGAATTTCTCCTCACATGATCAATGCAATATCGAGCAAACAAGTGATGAAAACAAAGAAAATTAACAACTCGGGGATTATTGGTTGATCAATACTAATTTTTGCGAACTAACATCATAAGAACTGTAAGGTTGACGGTAAAGAAAATTACCAATTAGATCTTGGGAATTTTAGGGTCAGTCAATTTTTTTTACTCCACTTCCGACACGTTTCCATTTTTGTTTACAAAATAAATCTATCTGCGCCAAAAACGCATCTCAGTTCCTTTATTTTCTGGTCAACATTGAATCCATCCTGAGTTCAAAAGCTACGTAAATATGTTATACACAACTTTTATTCTGATCTGCGTTCCAAAAACAACGCTCGCCCTTCCGTTCTAATAACTCTTCCTCTCTTAGCTACAGCTGTACGTTCAAATCTTAAACACCACTTTCAACCAGTTTCCCTTTTATCCAATACAGGTTCCCCGATCACCAAAAATTAATAAAAGGCATGTTTATGGACACCTAGGAAAATTTCAAACATCTTGAATTATATTTCCCATCTTTTCGAAAAGTGGAAACTATCATTGAGATTACAGGGGACTGACTGAAAACACAGACTACACCCGTACTTCCCAATTCCGGTAGGTCTCCTAACTATTTTGAAGAATGAAAAGTCTTCTAAGAAGAACGCACTCCCTCCAAAATGATAAGTCAGACTTCGACAGAGGTTCAATTGATAGGATATAAAAAATTCACTTGCAAATCCCGTGTGAAGATATTTTTATTTTCTCGTTTATGTTTCTGCTTATATTAAATATCAATACATTTTTCACGATTTAAATTAATAAAACACCAATTTATCATGTCACAATTTATAAGTATTACTCCAACATCATGAAAGCTGAACTGAGACAGAACAAGTATTTCAAGCGATCAGTTACAATATTTGTTCTGATCGGCAAAGGAGAACAAATTAACACGTTGATTTCTACATGAGGAGATTGTCACTTGAGTGTTTAAGACGCGTACTTCAAAGAAAATGACTGACATTGACGCTCACCACCTGAAAGCAATTTTCTTTAGCTATACCGTTATTTACTGGCATAACACATGCCTCAGATCTTCATTTTTTGGTTAATATTTCTTTTTAATTCTTTTTCATAATTCTATATGAACTTCCGTGTACTAGTCCCATCCCTCAGCAGCTGACCACGTCCGATCGTTTGATTTTATGGTACCTTGTATTACAGGATATTTCGCTCGAACAGCCAATAGGCTTACTTCCCTACAAAAGAATTGACATACAAACACTAAATGGAAATTGGTAATTAAGATATATGATATAGCCTTTTGAATCGTTAACACTGGAGCATGCATGCAACGGCCGACTTATCTTATATACATATTAATCAATCATTTGTGCGACGACGCCAATGACTCCTTGTATTCTGCATCTGCGTTTCAACTCATTGTAATTATACCAGAATGCAGGGGTAAGATTTATTATTGATCAACCGTTTAATCCTTCCAATTCTATTTAATGCTGCTGAAGTGGTCGGCGAATTCCATATCAACGTTCGCTAAAAAGTAGGGTACCGAAAGTGCTTTTCAGGGCAGGTTGGTAATCCCACCCCCACGGAGCGTATCACGGTCAAACAGACTTAGCTTTGGAAATGTTCCTATAAGAAAAAGATCGATACTCACCTGTTCCCTTGAACCACTTCGGCACTACACCTTTACTGTTTCCTCCAACGTGCGGTTTGCTGTTGGGGGTGGAATTCTGTTCCTCGAGGAAACCTGCCCCATTCGAGGATGTACCTACACCTTGCTCACTGTATACAGTGGACGAGCTAACCAGCGAGTCTCCTATATCAGGTCTTGAACCAGCGCGAACTGTCAAAACTCTACAAACAAGCAAGCATAGTCACAAGAAAACATTGCTCATCGCGGTCACAATGTAAAAAGAAGCGAACCCAAAATTGCCTGTCAGTCTTTTTTCGCAGACTCCAATGAATCATTCATAGTCTTTCTTTAAGATATAACTTGTGAGGGTAAAGTTCGGGACACACCACGCTTCGGGAGGCATCACAACTTTCTGCGTGAAATCTCTGCACTAGCAACAGGACTTTATCCAAGTTCGGTTTGAAGTTGAACGTTTGATCGCAGCCAAAAATGAAACGCAGCGCGACTCATTTGAGAGCAATAATCAAAGAGCTCTCTCGTTGCAAACACTTGACGCCAAATGTATCCTAAAGGGCTTCTGTGGCCTATCAACTCTGACCCCAAAAAGGCTTAACAAATGGCCATTAAGACTTCCAATTTAAACTTTTAGAGTTTTTGTCTTACCCAGTATCAACAACAGATTTCTCCGCATCTAAAACTGATGAAAGGTTGTCAAGTAGTCTTGTTGAAAGGTAGTGCTCTATGATGAAAAAAAATCATTACATTTTGAAAGTCTTTTTTTCACAGCTCAGAAAAAAACTGCAAGGTCTAATTAGACATATTAGGAAGAATGTGCCACATCATACTAAGTACTTTTTCTCATACCTCTTTGATGTTGAGATCCAAAATGTACAACTGAAGCTGGATAAAGTTTATTCTAAACCGAAAAATATACACATGCAAGTACGTTAGTAAGTTTTGCGACAAGTAATCTTGCATAAACATTCTCAGTTTGTTACAGAAATTATGGAGGAGGTGATGACCGCCGAAAAAATAAATTTAAGGTTTAGATCGTGTCGATAACTTGGCAAGATTGAGTTGGTATGAATTATTCTTATTGGTGTGGAAAAGGAAAAGACTTTTATAGAGGGACACTATTCAGTGTTGCTGACTCACTATCATTGATGCTAAGTGACTAAAAACACCCAAATAACCGCAAACAAATAACACAAATGAAACTTAACATGAATGAAAACCCAATGACCAGCGGGGTCCTTAGGCTGATCGAGGAACAAGTCAGATCGAAACAAATGCGTCTAGATCCATCTGGTGATCAGAGTGGAACTCGACACCAGGACTCCCGGATTAAGAAGTAAAAGAAAATAAATAATAATAAAAGAAAAAGAATGGTGTGGCTCGGCAAAGAGTTCTCAAAGTGGGAATCGGGAAGAGTTGGGGATGGGAACTGGCAGCCGTTCATGCCATAAATGACTGATTTTTGAAAAGGAAAACGTGTGGACTCTGAGAAGTATGTTGATTTTCCACTAAGCTTTCGGGTCAATACTATCGGTAATTTTATTTTTAAACATTGAAATAAGTGGCATTTAGGGTTGTTCTCACCTCAAACAAAGTTGAATTTGGTTTGTCCAGGAAACGCTTAGGTGGTGTAGTATCTAAAGACATGGATGCAAACGAAAACAGTTTAAATTCAAAACTAAGGATTATAAAACAATTTGTAAAAAAAAGATTGCAACTTTTTCAAAAGTACATGCAGGAGTGACAATATTGTACAGAAATAAAAGTACTTACATAAATAAAACGGAATATTCTGATCTTCTAGGTGGGATTTAACGAATGCTGTCAGGGTTGAGACTAGAAGTAAAAGAACTCATAACATTTAATAAGATAACAGAAAAAAAGGAAATAATTAGTTTTAAAAATAGTTAATGGTGCTGTTTAAATATCTACTCTGTGCTTTGCAATCTACGAATCATCCACGCGTTTGTCAACCTCTTCTAGGAACCGACAAAAATGTCTTTTTGATAGTGAGGATCCCTCTTTGAGGGCAGTGTATAGAAGACATCATACTTTACCTTTTTCCATTGGCCTGAAAAATGCTTGTAAGACCAGCCTGTCAGGAAACTTAATACGCACAACAACCTGTGAAACAAAACAAAACAAACTAAATTGTACTGAACGTTCGACTACACGTATGTGTCTTCGTCCGATAACACATACATTGTACTAAACACATATGGCCTTTAATTAGTGCTATAGAAGAAAAAAGGGTTTTGAGGTTTCAGACGAAGTTTTAATGAGTTACAGTACCGCTCGCGTATATGTTAACTGCGCAGACCAATTTCATACGCTCAGACGCA